CTCTCCCATGACTTTTTTTTCTTGGCTGCAGCTTCAACATCAGTTGCACTGCAAAGCATTTTTCTCCTCAGTGACTGAATGTAGACTAATTCAGCAGTTTTTAATAATTACCTTTGAAAAAGAGTGCAAATGGAGATCTTGCCATTTAGACAGAAAATAATAACAAAAAGTGTCAAAATGCCTACCTGCAATACCTACCTGAGCAGAGAGGGATCACTAATGCAAGCTGCTGTTAGATTAAAAAAAAAAACGGTGTGATGGCATAATTAAGGAGGAGGAACCTAATTTTATACCTAGTCAAGCAAACAGCTTTGTAGGAGTTTAACAAAAAAAACAAAACAAAACAAAAAAAAAAAAAAAAAAAAAAAAAAAAAAAAACTACCGGCAGATCAGGACTTTGACCTAATTTCAGAAGAGATTGTTCATAAAACTAAGCCATGATGAGTTTGACATTAAAGCAAAGTGAAGGCTGTCACAGGCAAGTGACATGGTGAAATTGATTTTGAGACGAGGCAGAGGAACTTTTAACTCTCACTGTGCTTTCATCTCCATAATTGTCAGTCAGAGTTAGACACCGAGGGCAGAGGAGGACGACATGAAATGTGTTGGAGAGGGGTGAGCAGATACTGCATGGAGCCCAGAAGACGAGCGTAAAGGGCAGAAGATTAGTATTGGTTTCATTCGAAGAGGGTTCCATGCTGATTGGCAGTGGCATCTGCACGTGCTGACTACAACCTTTGTACTGTAGATGCTGACACAGATCAAAACCGATTTGCTCAATTTTGGTGAAATTCATCTCTTACTGGTCTCACAGTCCAGTGTACTTGTCTCTCAGCAGCTCTGTAAGCAAAAGAAGAAAACTTGCACAGACTGAGCAGTCTGCGTTTTTTGCACATGGTCGTATGCTGTATGTATTAGATGTGTAACAATCTATTGATCTGGATTGATACATCGATCAAACTCCCCGTGATCTGATGACATCAATGCAAAATGTAAACTTTAATGTTTTGTGTGCATTTCTGGTAAAGCGCTGTTGTTTTCAAACTGGACAACAAGCGCCAGGAGGTGCAGTTAGCATTCTGAGACTGGAAATGCTCACTAAAAGTGAGCAACGCATAAGCCACTGAAGCGTTTGATCCGTTCAGTCCACACTGACTCCAACCTGTGCAGTGTCACTGTTGTCAGAACAGCCATTTGTCTGTCAGCAGGACAGTGACCAATAAAATGTGGGTGTTGCGCTTTGTTAAATGCACCAGAAAGAAGGAACTTGTTTGGACTGACACTTTTGATAAACTGGAGTTTTATCAGTTGCCTGAAAGGGGCAAGTGACAAAACACTTTCTATGAGAATTGACCTTGACCAATAGCAGCCAAGAAAAATACACAGCTAAAGTAAACTGTTCCATCAGAAACAAGTCATGGGTATGAAAAGGACACACATAGCAGTAAGTGTGAATGTTAAGTTTTAAACAAAACTCCCACTGCAATGTAGGAAAGTTGTTTTTCCAGCTTTATTTTATGTATGACATCATAAATGTGAACAGTTCAGTAGTTTTAAAATTATACATGTTACATATTAGTTAATAAAAATATAATTGTGTGAAATAAACACA